AACAAAATCCTGACTACAATAAATGTAGCTACGACCTTGTATGTGTGGTAGCTAGGACGTCGTAGCTACACATCAATTTAGCTACGACCTTGCAGCTACAGGTTACTGTTGTAGCTACAGTGTGACATGGTAGATACAATTCCATGTAGCTGCAATGATGCAGCTACAACCCGATGTGTTACAGTACAAACGAAATGAGATAACCGTCATAATGAGTCATAATAATCAATGCATACTTTAAACAAGTTCACCGTACCTGTCAAGATACGTCATATTAAGCAGTCTCAAGATATTCAATGTACTATTTAGAAATACGTCATAATAATCCTTCAAGATGTGTGCAGTTGAATAGATAGTAGTACTACGTAGTATTCTGTCAGTATACGTGCAGTACTGTACAAAAATAAGTACTACGTAGTACTTACGTTAACCAAGTGAGGTAACATTCAAAACAGGATACTCTGCCATACGAAATCGATAGGGGGATTTGGGACCAATTCCCCTACAGCTGGGGTACCACCCCTGCTGGGGAGCCGAAGCATACCTGTTCTGGGGGAAATTAGAAATAACGGATAATCGACCGGATGCACATACTCCTTGCATAGATCAGTAGAGTAGTACAACTTTCCAGCGCGGCACTAACCATTCAATTATCACTTTGCAATGACCTCGAAGGACAAAATGAAGTGCTGGTACCGGGATGTGGCTTCATCACGTGATACTCAAACTTCCCAAACCACGGGAAGGCCAAGCATCGCCACATCCCGGAACATCGCAACATTCGTCAACTGTGGGCTGCATCATGAACGCCGCGAGGGAGCTCCAAGCTCCAGTACAGTCAAGTCGTCTCAACGCCATCCAGCCCCTATATGCAGACGAAGAAGCGAACGAGGTCGATGACGAAGCGCTCATCATGCGTTTGTACAAGGAAGATGCACTCGCTGTTGCCTCGGTAAGATTGCAAATTTATATTGTCCGTCACTTGGGTGGTGACCCCGTCGCCATTCTGGGCGAGCTGCGACGACGTTTTGCAGCCGAAATACAGCACCACGAAGATCAAGTCTCCGCTGTTGAGATCCACTCGAATGTGCACGATGACATGTCGACGGAAGAATTGGCGCCATCCGGGACGGGCACACCGGAGACTTCTGGTGCAGCGATGTTGTCTGATGTTGCGGGGGTAGAAGCGGTTAAGGAAGCGGCGGCGGCGGCGAAACCTGGACGTCGCCTGGGATGAATGGGGAAACAATTGACGTAGAAGCGCTTTCCCTGTTGTGTTAATTTCCCACATTTGAATTGCCATGTTCCGGTGCGTTTAGATACTTTAATCAAATGAAAGGTTCTTTGGATTTAATTTCACACTTCTGAGTTGTCAGGGCCTGGTGTGTTACCATACTTTATTCAAATGCGAGTATTCAACTAGGATTAGAACATGAGAATGTAAATTATCTAGATTATCTAGATATAGTGAATGTAAAAGAAGCTCTAGATTATCTAGAAATACTGAATGTACAGGATGCTCTAGATTATCTAGAAATACTGTATGCAATAGATATTATATATAAATATATAGATAATCTAGATGTATGTGTATGTACAGCTGTAATAACAACATAAATATAAAAAATATATAACGTCGACCATAATGCTAATTACGCATCCCATTCGATCGTTTTCGCCGTCTCATTTTCGGACCTGGCTTCGAAGGGTTGAAGTCGAATCGACAAACAGCAGGTGCTCTTGATAAAGGATCTCTGTCAAGGTCTTGTGGCGGAACTGGTACGACATGGCCGCGTAGAGCAGCTTGAAGCGCTTCGTTGAGTACACGTCGTCAAAGAATAGCATTGGATCCTGATGAATAGCGTTGTAGCATCTGATGGCATGGATACAAGGTTTCCTTGTGTCAAACCAAGTGCGGCACTGACATGTTTTTGCTTCCAGGTCGACTAAGCGCCAAATGTGGGTAGTTGTCGAAGTTGAATCGAAGAACAACGCCAAAAACGTTCTTCCCGCTCGCAAACATCAATCTGGATAGGTATGCATCAATCTAGATAGATGCGAATAGTTAATACCGATATATTTCGCAACTTTGTTAACAACGTCTGGTACAACTTGCGGTGAACAGGTGTCATTGAGTCGTCAGGTCAGCTTGCACTTTTTGATCTACACAACTGTTAGTTGAAGTACTAAAATATATAGATAATACTAGTATACTCTAGAAGATCTAGATTCGCTTAGATGTATCTAGATGTCTAATTTACCTAGATACGCTAGATAAACTAGATATCTAGACGCATCTAAATATTATAGGCATATTCAGACAATGTACAATATCTCCGTTCGTTGATATTTTCAGTAAGTGGTGCATGTATCGAAAGTGGAGCATCACAGCATCTGAGCTACGCAGCTCGGTTCCCAACCATTGGTTTGCCGATTCGCTCATGTTGGATGTAACGTTGCCAAACTTAGTCTGGGGAATGCATACGTAATTCTTCATAGGGATGTGCGAGAGGTATACAGCAACAACTATGGATAGAGGATATAATAGCATAGGTAAATGTGTCTTTGCATACCTGAGTTCATCGACGTTAGGTTTTCTAAGTTGCGCTCAAACGTTTCGTGGCTGTCAGAGCGTGACAGTGTGTACACCAGGGCTTCTTCGGGGGCTAGACAAGTGGCGACCAAGCGATGTGTTGATGTGGGCACAATGTGGCGCATGCAATATCTGTGTGGGACATCGGGGCACTCAGCAATGCAGTACAGTTTAGAATATTCTAAATATATATATATATTTGTATATAAGTTGTAGAAACTCTAGAATATCCCAAATATATATATATATTTGTGTGTATATAGAAGTTATTGAATATCTAGACATAAAGTTCTATAACCTTTCAGGCGATCCGAGACGATTACTGTGGTAGGAATCAGTACTCCAGCATCCGTCAGCCAGCGCAAGAACCAGGTCCAATGATAGCCGTTTTCAACAGGAACGACAGCAATCCCTAATTGATATTAACCAGAGTTTTAGAACTAAGAGGTACTGTAAAAACGTACCAAGAATAAGAAGATGGTTGTTTGGGTCCTTCGCCGTAGCAAGCAAGAGGACACCTTTCGAATTCATCAGATCTTTGAGATGTGCACCTATAAAATCTAATGTAAGCATACGAGGATAAATAACGGCCATATAACGACTACCGTCGAGGGCTATCAAATTTTGGCAATTTGAAAACCCGTCCATGCAAAACCTGGGAACGAGTGTGCTTCGCAAAATTGCTCCATTCCTTGTTTCGACTAATCCAAACGTTCCAGGGTTCCTCGACTTCACCAGTTCAAAGAACGCGGCGATTTTTTCGAACGCAACTTCGACTGATCCATACAAGTTCTGGATAAGATCTTGTTTGGCACGGCTGGCCGAGGACGTCGAAATGATCTCGCTACTTGAGCGTTGGTAGTGGCTAATGATTTGTTTTCCCGTCAACATGCACGGATCGGACGTAAACGCGTTAAGATCACCGCTCTTTTGTAGTGCTTCCAGAATCTACCATGATTTGTAGATATACATTTAGTTCTCAATATTATACAAAATATAGAACTACTAGATCCTACTTCGAAGTACTAGTTAAAATCCTGATACGCACTCGAGATTTGGATACACCAGGGTGAGCTTTCGTCGTCGGCTTGGTTTGGAACAAGGGGTGGTTGTGCATTAAGTTCATCGAAGTTATCCAAGTACTCTTATCACTACGCATACCAGCTCGAACGTAAAACTCACAGTCGTCAGTAGAGCAAACCCACTTCCCGAAGCTAAATGCGTTCAAACACTCACGCAAATACACGAAGTTTCCAAAGTCATGTTGTTTTACACAATTGATAACATCAAGAAAGATGTAGTCGACTTCGGTGTTCGAGACATCAGTTAGATTCATCTCAATTGCATCTAGGAAGTACTCGTGGGAAACGAAGCCACTCACAGCACAAATTGGATCGACCCGATTTCGGTTAAGTTTTGATTAACCGGATGAATTGAATGGTTCAAGCGAGCTGCTGACCTATGCAAGGAGTATGTGCATCCGGTCGATTATCCGTTATTTCAAATTCCCCCAGAACAGGTATGTTTCGGCTCCCCAGCAGGGGTGGTACCCCTGCTGTGGGGGAGATTTGGCGATATTACAAAGTCGTACACACTAAGAATCACAGAGTACACACTAAGAATCACAGTGTAATTGGACGATTCACACAGGGAGACTGCGCCCAAAGCGTAAGAGCATCTCCACCGCATCCCCAAATATGTCCCAACTTGATAATGGGACATCAGATGGGACAAAATCTTTCCCACCAGATGTCCCGAAACCAAATTTGGGGTTGGGACATCGACTTTGTCCCGAAAATTGCACACTATTGGGATATCCCAACTAATTGTCCCAACTAATATACTTCCTCTGTTTGCAAATACTGTTGACACTAGTTTGAACAAAATAATTATATGTAAATTTGTATGCAATATATTATTTGAAAAGGCAACAACGTGTAATTTTATTCAAAAAGTGAAAATACGACCAAATCCGGCAGGATGTGATTCAACTAGCAGTTGAGGTTCCCGACCATTTCACAAATCTCGTCAAGGTTAGAAGGGGCCATTGACAGCGAGGAATCACATGAATCAACCAATGACTCAATCCGGTCCTCATAATCAAATCTTCTTTGCATTGCATCGATAGGGACGCACACATCAGCATGGCAACA